TATATATATATATATATATATATATATATAATGTATGTAATCTTCCATTTGTAGATATTCAAAGAAATACGCATATTCTTGAAATCGGTTAGACATATTGTAATATTAGAAATAGTTTTGTTATACAATCAGACCTATGTTCGCAGTGAATTCTCACAAAAGCTTGGGAAAAACCACCGTTTAAACATTTTCATATCTTTTGGATGATGATTTAGTTTGCTTTCACATTTTTGAAGTTCACTTAGGTTGTATTAATTGCATACATTTGACTTATAAAAGTACTGTACACTATGTCAAACAACTATACTAAAATTCAAGAGAGAAACAGACATTGTACATATCGCTAACGTAGTTTCCTCTTTGTCTTCAGTAATTCAATTTATATTTTTTTTTATTCTCACTGAAGGTCTTATTCACATCAAAATTTGGAAGGATGAAATGAATTACTTTTTCAATACGTCTCATATTAGCTTGTTTTTATTCCTTTAGATATGAATAAAATTATTTTCGGACAACAGATAAAAATTATCTATCTACTTCCCTGATACGACATTGAGAAATAGATTAGGATTATATGGGGAAAACAGTAGCATCTTGTAAAAATTTTTTTTCTATCAATGCAAGATATGCGAACCCGTTCATAGTCAATCTAAGAAAAATAATTTATAAAGTGTCATTCAAATTCATGATTCCCGTATGGGATCATTCTAATTTGAAATTTTTTTGTGCCTACAAAGTCAAAACGTACAAGTATAAATTGAAATATTGTAAAATACTCTCAAATATCAATAAATAAAAAATATTTACAAGCAACATAAAATCATCTAGAAAATACTCGGTAAATGATATGAGACTTTCAAACTCAACTACATCTTCCATAACAACTACGAGAATTAAAGAATTGTGGAATGTAACTGCTAAGATATAATACCATTACTCAACACGCAAACACGTGTTTCTGTTGATTTTTTTGTATAACAAGTAAACATTGAAAGCTTTTGTTCTTATGTAGAAACAATAGCTACAGAAAGAGAACAAAAATCATAATTTACTTAAAAAGAACACTTTTCAGCTTAACAATTCCATCAACTTCCAGCTTTCCAATGCCACCGAAATTCAGCTTAACAATTTTACCGAGGATTATATAATAGTGTTAAATTTATTTATACTTCTCTGCTGATATTTTCACCATTCCCTGGTAGATACTTGGTGAATGGTTTTTGCGTGCTTTGATCCATTAGATATCGCATGACATATTTTCTCTCTATCTTTGTCCCGCCGAATATCGCGGTTTGAAAACTGCCGCGACCCTACTCAAGGCCGACAAAGTATTGAATTTTACGGCTTTCCTGCTCATTGAGAGGAATACGACGAAATATGAGCACAACTCATAACAATCAGTGTTTTTGGCTTTAAGGAGTTGTATTGAGTAAACTGCCCGAATGTGGAATACTTTTTTACATTTTCGTCTACAACTTCAAAAACTAGCGCAAATTTTGAGACTGGTGTATATAATACTTAAACTGGTCATTTATAAACACGTGTTATTAATATTATTAACTTAAGTCTATTAGAAATTCTCGATATTTTGTAATTAAAAATGTCTATATTCTCGTATATTCCACATTAGGAGTACCTAATGTAAAATAATGAATTGTTCTTCGTTTTAACAAATAATAATTGCATTAACGTCTAGAACGACGTTTATTTAATCAATCATATATATTTGGTTTAATATCACAGACAATCCCTGCAACCGAAATTATTTTTTGGATTACCTGCGCATGGGATATGAGCCCGGTTTTTACATTTCTGACACGGAGGCTAATGTCTTAAATTTCTTCTACCATACACCTTCACAGTACGGTATAGAATATCGTAGTCGAATTAACGAGCAGTTTCAAGGAAAATTTCAGCGCCCAGCTGCTCTGATCGGTAATTTTTCCTGTTTTTTCGATCAATATATACCGAATGCCGGATAAATGCCAATCCCTTAAATTGGCCACGGTTCGCGAGCGATATTTTCTTCCTCATTCTCTTCTCTCCTCCCTTTACACACGCAATACACACACTCACACATACATACACACTTGTACACTTTCATGCATTGTAGTACCGTACACCCAAGAGACCTGTCAGGAGCATAAAGGTTGCCCCGGCACACCCGGAGTTCCACTTGCAGAGATACCAGGACAAGGAAACCTTGCAATGTGACAGAAAACTCAAAGCAAATTATCATTTTCCAGTGACAGAGAAACATCACCACATACCGCGATATCATTTGCCCAGCTCTTGCGCGAAGAATGACTCTTGACTTTGACGAACCCGGAAACAAAATAATCAACTCGCTCATCTGTATACAGGTAAAGCTTACGATTGATTAGTGATTCCGGGCGCGTTAACTGCTAAGGTCATTAGACCCGTAAGTGTAGTAAAAGTGTTTTTCTCTGACGATGGCGGTGATCGCCCCCGCTGGATGATTAGAACCGGCGCCGACCTACCGTCGGGTGGAAGGGCTTTCCCCAAAGAGGTATCTGTCACCACTGGGGAAACCGTCCCGCCGGGACAAGCGCTGAGCTCCCAACTTGTCTCCCGGCTTGTGTGGAAGTGTAGTGCATGTAATTGTAAGTGTGTGTGGGTAAGGGGTGAGGATAGGACAAGGAAGAAGAAGGAAAGATAGCGCGCGGTCCGTGGCTCGCTTGTTGATCGGAGAAACCACGGAAAATTATGGATTAGTGCATCCGGGCACTAGAAGTCTACTCCAGAAAGTTACTGAACTCGACCTAGCTATCTAGGCAATGTCGAAAATCCTACCACCGTCGGGACTCGAACATAAACCCTCCTGGTCAGATACACTGCAGGAACATCAGTTCATGCCCTGTACCTCTCCCGGTGTACAGCTTAAGCCTCGGGGCCATAGGCACCGGGACAGCGGCGGTGGCGGTGGCGGTGGCGGCTGCGGTGAGATTTGCCCCGACCTGGATCCTACGATAGCGATTGCGTGGGCGGCGGGGTGGCGATGGCGGCGGGTCCTAGCGGCGCAGGCGGACGTCGCCTCCTCGCGTCGCTGCTGCAGCAGCTGCAGATGCAGCGGCGCGGCGCCGCGCTCAGGTTCAACAGAAGGTGCATCTGTGAGTATTCCCTTCGCCGACACGCTTGTTTCGGCGACATTTACTACCCACTAGGAATAGTGTAAATTCAATTAGAGACAGTGAAATAATCGCACAGGCAGTGCGCGTGTAATAAGAAAATTAAGAATTCCTTACACAAATTCGGATACAGCTATAGGGGTGCGACGCTCCGGCAGGGTCAACAGAAGGTGCGTCTGTGAGTACTCTTCGGATGCACAGACGCAATTCATCACTGGGAAGCGGTGAACACGGGTGGACTAGCGGACACTTTCTCACCGGCACGGGCACCGCTGAAAGACACACTCCACCCATACACTCACTCCACCCATAGACACTCACCCCACCCATAGACACATGCATACTTGAATACCAAAAATACGAGAGACAGCTTCTCATAGGCTGTCTGATACGGACAGGTGGTCAGACTATTTTCTTTAAATTTCTTGTAATAAAAGAGTAAGACAGGCTTAGGAGGGTGGCATAGACTTAGAAGGGTGGCTCACCTCTGAATTTTTGAAAATTAAAAACAAATATATTTTTTGTTTGTCTTTCTACAACTACAAAATTAGAGGTAGATATTTTTCCTTAAAATAAAATTTGTTTTCCATAGTGAGTTCTCTCATTAAGGTAATGTACATTATTTTGAAAACTTTGTAGTCTTCGCGCAAAATTGCGTGCAAAATGTGCAATTTAAAAAAAATACAAAAACAAGATTTTTTCAAAAACGGCTATAATTTTTGCTTTAAACTTTTGGTTAAGATAGTTGTAAATGTAATCGATAAGATGACATAAACGCCGTATTGCTCTATTTTTTTCCAAAAATTACTAACATTTATTGTTTTTTAATTGCATCAATATTTTATACCAGCGGCAATTTGTTCTCATTGTATTTATGAGCACATGTGATTTTAATAATGCTTATTGAAAACTCTACTGTTTTCTGTGAAAACTAACTCAAAACTCCTCATTTTCAGAAACACTCAAACGCCATTTTCTCAAAAACGACTCTAATGTTTTTCTTCAACAGTTTCGAACGGATAGTCATAATTACACTCTTTAATACCATGTGAAGTTAATTTGGGTGTATTTCTTTTAAAAAATTACACAAATGTAAATCTTTTGAAAGATCTCCCACGCTGTTGATATGCTCATTTCCAGTAATTTGTATACACTATTGTATTTGTGAATTAAAGAACTTAAAATGACTTCAAATGAAGTTTTTCGAAAACTTAGTTTCTGGGAAAAAGAGCTTCAAATTGCGAATTTACAGTAGTGTTAAACGCCAGTTTTTTAAAACAGTTGCAAATTTTTCAAAGTAAATTGCCATTTAGAACGAGGTTTTACTGTTTTTTAAAATTCTTTAAATAATATTTCCGCTTTACAATTAGGAAGCCGAAAAAGTAGGAAAATGTCAAAAAAATGATCTTAGAGCGGCAAAAGTTGGGAGCAGACCAGAATATGTGGCGAATTGGAATTGATATGAGAGACCAAAGGAAACAGAAAACTAATACGGAAAGTCTGTGCCATTCTGCACCACCACTAGGTAAGGTTTAAGGCCCGAAATATAAAGAATTTTTTTATTTTTTAAAACAATTTTTTCTCAAAAAACCACTCAAAGATATTTCTGTAAATTTTCTCCACGGATGTATCAAGAGACAGTAAAAAATATTGTGCTAGTCCCATTTCCGTTGTACACTAAATTTTAGAAAATTTCAAATTTATAAATAATGCAAGAAAATATGTGTAGTTGTTGTACCATAAGTGTTTAAGTTTTATTTTAATATTATTTTTTTATTATTTTATTATTATTTTATTATTATTTTATTATTATTTTATTATTATTTTATTATTATTTTATTATTATTTTTTTATTATTTTTTTATTATTTTATTCTTTTATTATTCTTTTATTATTATTTTATTATTTTTATTTTTTATTATTTATTTTTGTTATTGTACACAATCTGTTTGGGTCTGGTTCGCCCGGAGAGAGAAGCAAACCACCCGTATACTGGCAGAAGGATGTTGCCCTTCAGGGACCAACTATGCCCATTTCAATCAACCCATCTGTTCGGCTCGTGCCCACAGGGCTGGCGTCAGCGGTAGGCCTGCTGCTCTGCGCCCTGCTCCTGGTGCAGCGACTCGCCCGCGACCCCAGCGCCTCCGAGGCGCTCACCGCCGAGGGCATGCAGTTCCTGCGCGTGTCGCGCGACCCTCGGCGCTACGTGCGGCCCGAG